CTATTATATCGCTTCGGGGATGGGGAATACAAACCATAAATTGAGGAGGAAAGTAATAAACCCTAATCATCTATTACAAACTTTCGAGCAGTTACATAATTATATAAATGGGAAAAATAAACAAACGCACGGAGATGGTGAAGAGGGAAAGATATTTAAGACCTAAAAAAAATCTAAGTGTTAGAAAATATTTTTAGTGCTTTTGTTATAGAAAAATAATTAAAGTATTTAAAATAAACCCTAATTCTAATTAATTTATTAGTTTATTAATAAATAAAAACAAAATATGATTAAGTTAATTAATTTTAATTATCAAAAATTAAATTAATTAATAAAAAAACTAAATCTATATTTTTATGATTTTTGTGATTAAATAAAAAAATGAAATTTGATTTTAAAAAAAAGAAATTAAATAATTAAAGAAAAATAAAAAAAATGAAAATGGGCCTGCAAGAAAAGAAAATGGGAGGGTATGAATCTGAATTTTGTCAAGCCCAACCATGGACAAGGCCCAGAACTGCGTTGGATCCAGTGAGGGTGGCTTTCAGGAGGTGCATCATGGGGCTTGATATGATTCCATTAGATCTTAATCTGATGGTGATGATTGAGGAAGTGGATGGCATGCGCGCTGGATAGCTTGTACCGGATCTATAAAGAAAACATGGAAAAATAAAAATTGTCCCACGCCTAAATCGAACCCAGGATCAGGCATAGGTAAGCCTTAAGAACACGCGCGCTGCCACTGGGGTGGCTTGTACATCTGGTATATGAATCAAATATTAACATTATATTTAAACATGGAAATTAATATTATCCAATCAAACAACGCACATGCAGTGGGCCCTTGTCATTTTTGAACAAGCGAATCACAAATAGACTGATTCCACACAAGCTTTCAGGAGAGTCTAACCACCCCTCACGGTGGTCAACTCCTCTTCTCTGATTGGCAAAAAAATCAAACCTGCGAAAGAACAAAAATCACAGTCCAAAGATTTAACCTACCCCCCTAAATCAGGGTCTGCCAATCCAATGGTGTTGTCCGTTTGCCTTAAAATGCATGTACACAAAGATGCGAAGAACACAACCCTTCATACCCTAACTATGGAGTTTTCAAATTTAGGCACCCAAGCTCACATGTAATACGTTAGATTTGTTCTAATGATGCATAAAAACTAATCAAATGTGTTAACAATGATTGCAACTATGAGAAATCAAGATTTTGAGACTCACCACACTTACCAACCAACGCAGATGAAAAGGAGTCTTCTGGCATATTTCAGGCTCGTGTGAGGGCTGGAAATGACTCCTTTGATCCTCAGGGAGTGATTTATGCCCTTGGTTTGGATTGATAACGGCTGGAAATATGGTTACGAATTTTGCAACTTCTTTAGATTTTTGTGAATTTTGGAGATCTCTTTTAGGCAGTGATTTCGTGTCCTTTGTGATTTGATAATGTTGTGTTTAAATAGAGGAAGAGAATAGCTCATCAAATATGGCAAGGAATCAAGCCATGATGGCTCTAATCAAACACTTTTAAAAGCTTCCAAACTTCTAATATTTCTTTCCTTCTTGAGTCTCCACGGTTTTGGCATGTTGTAACAGGCTTGCATGAGCTGTATTGGGCATGTACATGATTGAGACAAAAGAATCCAAGCCCTTATACTTTATCTCATATTTTATTTGATTTTTATTTGCATTTAAATGAATAAAAATTCAAAATAAAGAAATAAAAATGATAAAAAATATGTGAATGGATTTATAGGTCCTCTAACACGTTATGTACATGTTTGAACATCAAAAGTTAGGCCCACTAGTTCAAAATTTCAAATTTTCTTATTTTGCATTTCATGCATTTTTCCAAAATTTCACAACTTGCAATGGTCAAAACTCTCTCAATTTTCATCTTTTGAAGGTGATCTTTGACTTTTCGGAAAGCTCAAGATGTCATCTACACTTTCTCTTTTGATCATTTTTTGCATTTGAAGAATTTATCTTGATGTAAGTTGCCTTGACAAAAAGTGTATTTTGGTTCACTTTTCAAATGACCTATAATGTATTTGCTCATATCTTTCAAATGAAGCATTTTTTGGACTTGATCATAAACAGAAAGTTTTATAGAATTGAATTTCCTTCAAAATGAGCTTTGGTTGGGAAACAGTTGATAAAGCATGTGAAAGTTATGCTTGGTCAAAGTTCAGTTGACTTCTCCTAAGGAAACCCTAATTTGGCAATTATTAAATTTTGATTATTTGAGGGATTTCCTTGATGAATAATGATTAACCCTTGTTCAAATGATGAATATCACTACAAAATGTTGATGTTGACAAAAATTCTTGAAGTTTGACTGTATATTGACCATAGTTGACTTTTTATCCAATACAGTTGATTTTCAATCATCTGAGCCATTGATTGAGAAAACTTATGAAGTAGGACTTGAAACTTGACATGAGCACTATTGAGGACCTATGTTGAGCCAATAAAACCATTTGAGACCTTGGCAAACCAAACTTCCTTGATGAACTCAAACCCTAGTTGTAGACCTTTTGCTTAGGAGGAGCATCTTGACTGGTCAACCCTTGAGATTCTTGAGTATCTGAGAACCCTTGAAAGAATGTCTTGAAGAAAATAGAAGGGAAATTTTTTGGGTACAACACGCTTCTAGTAACCTTACTAGTCCCAGCAATATTGTCAATGTTGAGACCAACAACTTCAATATCTTCAATCTTAGTAATAAATAGTTCTTGCTTGACGCCATGGTAGTAGATGTCAGATCCATAGTTCCAAGGGATAGATTTATACGAAGAATATGGTATGGGTTTAGGTGTAGTGATTCTCAAAGGAGCAACTTTGGATTTGGCAGTGATCCTTACAGGACCCTTGGCAGTGATTCTGATAGGAGTGCCAAAAATTACAGCTAAGTCTTGAAACAGATTCTCAGTAGACAGAATCTTCTCAACCAGCATTATATGATTTTCCATGAGGCGTTTAATACCTTCTTCTAGCAACTTGGAGCCATTGGGTTGGTCTGTGCAACAGTAATACCTTTCAATACATCTTGGAAATAAACCGACTTGCAACAAATTCTTCTTGATAATTGGGAGGGGGGTAACTAATTCACTTACAGTAGAAACATAAAGAACATCATCAATAGTGCTTATGCCTTTTTCATGCTCAGGCATAGGTGTAGTAATTACATTCGGGGTCTCGGGAGGATCAAACTCAATCTCTTTGTTGTCAATCATGTCTTGGATTTTGTTTTTCAAGGCCCAACAATTGTTAGTTTCGTGCCCGGGACTATTGTAATGGTAAGCGCACTTCACATTTGGATTGTATAGAGGAGAGGAGGTGTTGGGATTCTGAGGAGGATCCCTTAACGTAATCAGTTTCGCTTTCAATAAATGTTTTAATGCCTGAGACAATGGCATACTGATCATGGTGAATTGTCTTCTTGGTCCATCTATCCTACGTTGATTGCCCTATTGTTGTTGTTGAACATGCGCATGATTAGAGATTAGAACCGCTCCTACAAACTGATTGCGGACACTTCTAACACGACCCTTCTGGCCATAAACAACATTGGCTTCCTTATTTCCTTTGAACGTCTTCTTTATAGTGCTTGAAGATGCAGCCACTTGAGTTTTTCCACTTCGGATACCAATTTCAACTCGTTCCCCTGTTAGTATCAACTCAGTAAAACCAAATGAGGAACTTCTGATCAGATGATTAAAGAAAGGCCCTATCAAAGTGCCCATAAACATATTAAAGAGCGAATAACCCAGAAAAGAGGGGGAGAGAATCTAGATATGGGGGTTGGTTATGGGAAGGGAAGGTATTAGCATCCTAAACATCTACGATACTCCGCATGAATCTCTTTAAAAATTTGTGTATTTTGGATATATGTGTGGTATACAAAAATAGATGGTGGAGATGATAAAAGATGAATTTTTTTACAATTTTTACACCCGCCGCGGTTGCGAATCTTTAGTGCCTACGTACCATCTTCTGTGCAATAGGGGATCAGGGTACTCATAGTTCACCTTTTAAACATTTTTAAACACAAATGTGTTGGTTAATTTTAAGAGACGAGACATCAGCGTCTTATCCAAGTGGAAGAACATACTTACTATCCACGATTATGAGAAAGGAGAATTTACGTCATCTCAAAGGGGGAGGATATAGCTTGGATTTTAAAAAAATAAACAAAGCCTCACTCAACACCCAAGTGGAAAATATCTCACTTCATTACATATCGTAGAAGTATAGTAGCTCGCATCACTACAAAGATTGACAAGAGTCTAATCTTATGAGAAAATTTTAAGGTAAAAAGCTAAAATGGCAAAATGATTTAAATGAGATTGATTGACTTTTAGTCTTCTCATAAAAAATGTCAAAATATGATTAAGTTGGTTAAAGTTTGATTAAGAAAATATTTTTGAAAATGCATGGACCTAAGTCCAAGTTTATTGCGAAAGCGATTCAAGTTAGAAAACAAGAAGAGTTTTCGAAAGGAGGGAGAAGATTTTTGAAATTAAAGAAGGTGGGAGGAGATGAAGGGGTTATCCTAAAGCATAAGGTAAAATCTAGGGAAAAGAACTGTCGAACAAACCAGAAGTCAACACTTGACATAATGAGTCAATGTATAATTCCCCTCCTTGGGATTAAAATCAATCAAGCAAAGATAATAAACCTCTTAAGAAAACCAAGCTTCAAATGAATTAAGTTTTCACAAAAATGGGAAGAGTAACGACTGTATATAGATGAATTATCAATCATAGACAAACCACATAATCAAAATAACCTACACACAAAGAAAACAAACAACCCAATGTCTCGGGGTAAATCCTAAGAACTCCAGACAAAATAGAAATAAAAGTAACATAGTCTCAAGGTAGGTTAAGGTCTCTAATCCTAAGTCTGAGAAGTCCACAACTCCAAGATTCCATGGATAGCAACCAAGTAGTCCAGGTAACATTAAAGCTTTTTATAGTTCAAGTTGGTTATTAGGTATCTTCAAAAAGAAAATGAAATCTCAAGTGAGCAAAGATGAAATAGCATGAAATGTAAATGCTAAAATAAATTATTCTTAAAAGTAAAGGCGTAAAGTAAAAGCATAAAGATTAAAGTCAACTGTTAATGAGTTAGAGATTAGAGGTTAGTTGAATGACCATTTTGAAACTTGCATTTGAAAACTTGTTAGAAGATTGATAAAATCAAAGTCTCTCAATAACAAGTCTCATTTGCTTTTTGTCAAGTATATCATTCATTTCAAAATCTCGAGGCGACAATAAATGATCAAAGATGTTTAAATGATTCATTTAGTAGAAAAATTATGAAGATTCATTAGAGGATTGATAACACCAAAGCCCCTAACAATGAACCCCAAGGTTGTTGGATCAAAGGTTTCAAATTTAACATCTTTGGGCTTGCAAACATAGGTTTGAGCCACAAGTGATCATTTCTTGAATTGGGAAAAATTCAGCGCTATGTTATGCAATCGTAGTGGACTTATATAGATGTCACGCCTATTTTATGGTCGGTCAATAGAAATCTATGTGCCATATGTTTAGAGATATGATATGTAAATCATCCTCTAACAACGTATAACACAAATGAGAAGAGGATGAAATGAAGCTAAACAAAAATTAAATTCCACATTTAAACCAAAGAATTTAATCAAGCTATCATTAAAATCATCCATCCATTTTGGTGAAGTTAAACTCAACACCCAAGATCCAATGATGCTAGTAAAGCTTATGATTAAAATTAACATAGTCCAAGATCAGCCAGAATATATACAAAAATAAAATTGCATTTGACAATGAAAATAGAATGAGAAAATTAATTTTTAAATTATTTTTTTAAATGAAAATAAAAGGTAAAATAACAAACTATATTCAAAAAAATATCAAAGAAAAATTAAAACATACCATATAGAAGTTAGAAATGATCTAAAATATTTTTATAAAATTTTTGGTAATTTTTTAAATTAAAAAATTATTTTTAAATTAATTAAAATCATCCAAATGAATGAAAAATGATTAAAAATAAAAAAAATTAAAATTAAATTCCATAAGAAAAAAAACACTAAGTCAGAAATGAGATAAATGAATTTTGCAAACTTATTCAGAATTTTTGGACGAAAACTGAATTTATAATGAATTTTTGAAGCCTTTAGATCTGGTCAACTCAGGTGAAGTACTTACATCAAGAGGTCTAAATTTAAGGCACATGGTAATATTGTGGTATTGTATACGGAGAATCAGATTCCATCATCCTCTTCTCCGGTGGTGACAAGTGGCATTAGTGGCCTCTTGTCCACCACTAGCTGGCCGGAGGAAATCTATATGCATGGAGAGGAAAGGAAAATGAAATCCAGTAAACCAAATGGGTTTACGTTACAACAACATTAATTTATTCATCATTTGTTTCTTTCTTTTATAATATCATCACCTTATTTCTTCATAAGCAACAAATCATGAGAACAGAATGGGAGAGGAAAGAAGCGACAACAAGGAGTTCTTCACGGTGGTGGCTGGCGAAGTTCGCGGCGGCGCCACTGTGAAGCATGTTCTGTTTTCGAAAATTTTTACATCATTATGTTCATATTCCTCTTCTTATCTCCAATCCGTGATTATTTTTTTTAAAAATCGAATCAGTTTTGCAAGATCTTGAAAATGGTTTTCGAAAAAAAAAATCTCAAAAACGAAATTAACACAAAGATAGAAAAAGGCAGGTGGATTCAGAATCTATGATGTGTTATCAACCTTTTAGACGGAAAAGAAGAGGTGAGCGGAGGAGATTCAGTGAGGTGAGCGATTTTTCAGCGAGACAAAGGAGGTTGACGGTGGCTTTCGGTTTCTTCCGGGTGATATCTTTATGAATCTTGTATCTTCTTCTTCTTCTATGTGATTCGGAAATCTTTTCCTCTTTCCAATTTTCTGAAGGGTTTTCGTTTTTTGGGAAAATGATGATGAAATCATATTTTGGGTTCTTTATTGTGATGGTGAGATGCACGGTTTTTCTGATATTTGTGAACTGTTCTTTTTTAATGCAATTGATTGGCTTTATACTGTTAGAGAATTCTGTTTTGCTGTGATATTGGGACTCGGAGTTGATCTTTTACAGGCTTCTTTGCGAATTTTCGTGGGCTTTCATTTTGTAATTTTGTTTTGTTATTTGGGTTGGAGCCTGCGACCTTAGCCTCTGACTTTACTGCAAAACTATTTTTATTGTGATTATGTGGCCTTTTTTTACTGAATTTGTAATGACTTTGTCCCTCAGATCTGTCTTAATGTGAACCAACATGTTTTTGATTTTTAGTAGACAGAACTAGGCCCGTGATTAAACTTGGATCTGATTTTGTTGTGAAAGCATTATGAGGCTTTAGTTGTTGGGCTGGATAAAACTGTGATTCCTGACTTTGCTTTTACTCGCGATACCATGATGACTGTTTCTTAACTCGTAGCAATTTTCCTTTTCAACCTTTATTGTGAACTAAAGCATGGATTTATAATTTGTAATAGAGGTCACGGGCCAATGATTGGACCACAATTCTCATTATTTGTCAAGAAAAAAAATGAGGCCTTTTTGTTGGATTTATGAACATGATTGGATAACCCTTGATTCAGATTCCCTTTACAACCCTAATGATGAATTTGAAAAGAAACCTCTTTCTTTATGTTCAAGTGTTTATGTTCTTGATGATTGCTTGCTAAAAATTTTGTTTATTTTTCCTCGTTTCATGTGATGAGTGGTTTGTCAAGAGCATGGTTGCAAAGGGTATGAGTTAAAGACTTGAGGATAATGCAACTGTAGCAAAGCTTGAAGGCATGGAAGAATTTCTTGAGCAATGGAGTAGAAGCTTGAAGAAACTCAAAGTCTTGTGATATATAGAAGTTTAGGTGTAGAAAACTTGGAATATTTGTATTTTTGAAGTTGTAATTGGATTTTAGGCCATATAGAATTTGAATTTTCTTGTAACATGAATGGTGAAATTGGAAACTTACAAAAGAGCTTGTATTCTTTGTGAAGAAACGGTATGACTTGAATATTCTTGGATGAGAAAATACATTTATATTTGTATGTAATTTGGGATTCTTGAAAAATGACTTTGAATGAAGCATGAATCTTGAATGAGAATGGTTATCACAAATTTAAGTTTTTGAATTTTCTTGAAATTGCACCATGTTTAAACTTTGTAACACCTAGATGTGTATTTGAACTTTGCTTGAACCATACAAGTCATGTTTCAAATTAAGCCTTATAATGCCTTGAATGAGTGGAGGGAAAATGGAATTTGAAATTAAACTCTCTTGATGAAGTTATGGACTTGAATTCTTTGTAAAAATAGTGCAACTTGAAATTTTAGAATTTTCATTCTTCTTGAATTTTTCTCTTGTCTCTTAAATTGCCTTCACTTGTAAGCTTGTAAATTTTGAACTCTCCTTGAATTTTGACTAAGGGAAAGAATCATATGATTTGAAACTCCTTGAAACTTTTGGATAAATTTGCATCCATAATTTTGAATCTTTAAACTTTATCATAATGGCCAATGATCCCTCAAACTCAACAATCTTGTACTATGACTCTTATCTTGATGATGACTATTTTCAACATAAAAAAATAAAGCTCTGTAGAAAAATGTCCTGGCATTGGAAAATTGGTAACATGAATTGAAATTAGAGGTTAAGAACATTATAAGTCAAAAAAATGACCTAAAACATTTCATTAAACTCCACGGCTTTCTAAGCGCAACTCACTTTGACCTTTAAAGAAAGTTTGTAGATAACGCTATTTGTGACACCGTGCAAAATTAATCACCCCAAATTGATGAAAAATGAATGAGTTATGATCCTCGAAATTTGGACAAATGTCACTTGAAAATAGGTCAAAGTCCACAAAACAACCTTTAATGTACTCAGACTTTTGATGGCCTTCTACATATAATTAGCTCTTAACTTGTAAAGAGATGTTGGAGATGATGTCAAGAAGATTCATATGGTCGAAGAATTGACCAAAAGTAGTGAATAATGAAGAAGTTATGATTATTTGAACTCGAACTTACAAATGTTGACTTTCAGTCAACCAACTATGAATTAATTGCAGACTTGATCTTTCTTCACAACCCGAAGCACTCTTAATCACATATGAACTTGAGATGACGAAATCTTGATAAAATCATGCTCATACTTATCAGAACTTGAGAGTACTCGTTGAAGAAGGCATGGAAGTAAACACATGAACCTATCTCAAATAATCTTGAGAATTAAGCAACCAAGCTCCCCTTAACCAAGCTGACTGAAACTTCAAAAAACGTGACCTAAGATTATAGATCACCACTAGGAAACATAGGCTTTTGGGAACCATCTTTGGCCTGAACAAACCATAACCCTAATCGGAGAACCATCACCTGAATTTCTTGATCTGAAACTCTGTCTTCTAAAAGAAACAAAATAAACAAGACATTTTTTTGGATTTTGGTTATAGTTCAGTAGAATGTAAAACACATATATACAAGATACACGTTTCAAGGTGCTTGGTGATCTCTCAAGAGAAAACTTAAAGATAAGACACCGTAGTAAAAGTAACCAAACCCTAATGCATGATCTAGTTGCATTGTGATGGTATGAGATGATATAGGAATCTTAGGGGTAAAAATTGGGGTATAACAGGACCCTGCACCAAGTGTCAACCAATCAAATTTCTTCAAAATGCGACACCATTGGTCAGAGGGGTCAAACCACCGTGGAGGGTGGAAAACACCATCATATCCGATGGGTGTCTTTTCAAAACCCTACAAAATCAATTAAAACGAAAAAAGAAAAATGCATAGATCAATTATGTTGGACCCTGCGAACTCAGTGGTGGGATTAGTTTCATCCAACACGGCCTGTATCATTGAATACGAAGATTCACGAGTTTCTTTCCCTAGCCATGGTGAAACTCGAATCCTGCGTTATAGCTTGCAACTAATGGTCCTAAACAGTCACAATAATCAGCATGAACATGTACACATGCATCAAATCGATCAACAATGTGTAAATTAAAGGTTTGAGTTCAAAAATTTTACCAATACCGACGTGACTTGGGTTGCCTGTTCTGGTCACGATTTGGCTTGGCAAAAGGTTTGGATGAACTCCTGGAAGTCTCAGGAGGATGATTTGATCGTTATTTTTGAGTGAGAACGGCATCATCAAGGGTTTTGAGTTTGCCCTAATTCTTGAAATTTTTGTGAGCTTTAGGGTTGTTCAAGGAGGCTTCCGTGCGTGGTCCTCTGGATCTGATTTTTTTGAATACATATAGAAGAGTGTGTTAGGTCAATAAATATAGAAAAAATCTTTATGCATTATGGTGAACATATTTTTCTTTCAATCTTGCTAGAAAAGTTTCCTTCTTTAGTAAATCATATCTTCAGGCTTCACATGATTTACTAGTTGTACATGAGCTCTTTAGGCTTCAAATCTAGCCCAAGACCAAAGCAATTCGCCTAAGTCCATCCATTTGACATTTATTTAATTTATTTTGAATTAATAATGAATGAAAATCAAAATAAATAGAATAAAATGCCAAAGGGTACATCATTAAGATGTGAGGTTCATTATAAATTTCAAAACACGTTTGGACTTTGAAACAATGGCCCATTAGCCCAAAAAATCAAGTTTGCTCAATTTGAACTTCATGCATTTGCTCAAAATTTCCCAACTTTCACTGGTCATAACTCTCGCAATTTTAATCTTTTGAAGGTGATCTTGGACTTTTTGGAAATCTCAAGTTTTTCTCTACAATCTCTATGTTGACCATTTTTTCATTTGAAGAGATTATCTTGATGTAAGTTTCCTTGACAAAGCGTGTCTTTTTGTTGACTTTTGAAATGACCTATAATGTATTGGCTCATATCTTTCAAATGAAGCATTTTTTGGAGTTGATCTTAGAGAGAAAAAGTTGTATAGAATTGAATTTCCTTCACAATGAGCTTTGGTTGGGGAGAATATGATGAAGCACGTGAAAGTTATGCTTGGTCAAAGTCCAGTTGACTTCTCCTAAGGAAAACCCTAATTTAGCAACTTTTGACTTTTAATGATTTAAGTTTTTTCTTCGTGAATCATGATCAAACCTTTATCAAATGATGAATGTGACTTCAAAATGTTGATGTTGACCAAAAATCTTGAACTTTGACTGTATGTTGACCATAGTTGACTTTTTACCTAATACAATTGATTTTTAGTCATTTGAGCAATTGACTGAGGAAACTTGTGATATAAGGCATGAAACGTGGTATGAGCATTCCTTGAGACATATAAGAAACCATGAAAACACTTGAGGCTTTAGAAACCTAAATTTCCTAATGAAAGATGAAACCCTACTTGTGAACCCATTGCTTAGGAGGAGAATTTGTCTAATCAATTCTTGAGTAACCTTTAGCATTTGAGAACCCTAGGAGAATATCTTGAAGAAAAAGGGAGGGAAAATTTTGGGGTACAACACTCATATATAGTAGTGTCTTCAGAAGTAGCTACAAAACTCTTTTTTCAATATTTTATGTTTACTTAGAAGAGATTGACACCTTTTCATTAATTCAAATAAACCAATTTCAAGTCCAGAACGAGATAGAGAAGTAAGTACCTCTTTGTCGTCATCAAAGTCATACTCATAGTTAATTGTCAGTTCGTCTTCTGATGCTGCTTATCCCTTGCTGGTCCTGGCCATAAATGTTATGTTTGCATGTTCTTCATCAGAATATTCATCTTCTGATTCTAAATCATCCCATGCTGCCATGAGACTCTTCTGAACTTGCTTTGTCTTTGCTTCCAAATTTGACTTATTCTTCTAAATATCAAAGAGAGTTCATCACCATTTGAATCTTCTTCAGCTTCTTCTGATTCTTCCTTAGCTTCATAAGCCTTGGTTTTCCCATAATTATATTTTAGAGCAATTGATTTTACCCTCTTTTCAGGTTCATCTTGTTCCAGCTCAACCTCGTGAGTTCTTAAAAAGCTAATCAGCTCCTCAAGAGAGGTGTTGTTCAGATCCTTTGCTAATTTTAAAGCAGTCACACTTGGTCTCCATTTGACAAGCATACTTTTGATAAAAATTTAACATGATCTGCAGTGGAGTAACCTTTACTCAAAACCTTAAGTCCTTCCACAAGAGTCTGAAATCTTGAAAACATTATTTCCACAAATTTTTCGTCTTCCATTTTGAAGGCTTCATACTTTTGAATTAAGGCCAAAGCCTTTGTTTCTTTTACTTGTGCATTGCCTTCATGTGTAATTTGAAGAAAATCAAAAATAGCACTTAGAAGAATGGTTCTTGCTTTATAGTGATTTATGCATACTTTCTTTTATGCTTCCGTCATTGCACTTCTTGCAATCTTATGACCTTTATCATCTATTGGGCGGGTGTAGCCATCAACTACCAAGTCCCATAGATCCAAGTCATATGCTAGAAAGTAACTTTCTATTCTATCCTTCCAATAGTCAAATTTATCCCAATGAAACATAGGAGGTTTTCAACTATAGTGATCTCTATCATTATCCATATTATCAAAAGTGGAAGTAGATACAATGATTGGTTTTTCACACACACTGAATTGGTACTAGACACTGTTAAGTGTTGATAAAAATTCAAACTTTTTATCTCCTCTGAACCAGAGCTCTGATGCCAATTGAAGGTGTGAAAAACACAAGAAAAGGGGGTTTGAATTGGGTTTTTTAAAACAAAACTGTTCTTTTAAAAACATTCCCCTTTAAGTTAAATTTTTTTCCTGCACTCTTGATAATAACAATAAGTAAGAATAGGAAGTAATGAAAAATGTATGTTTATAATAGTTCACTTGAAAATTACCAAGTTAGTCTAGTCCACCTGCCAATGTGATTTCGCCTCACTTAATCGAGGACTTAATTCAATATAACCAAACTGATTACAATTTACACAAGCTACCTGTAAGTGACTAATAACTTCTACGACTTGCAAGCCCTAGACTTCTTAAGGATTCAGACTTACTGGGTCCCTTAAGGAATATAAAACAATAATCAACCTGATTATTACAATGCAC